CCAGCTGGGGCAGTGGGCTGTGGGGTGCAGAGCCCCCCCATGGAAGGGGGTGTGGGGGTACGGGGCAGGATACGGGGTGCAGCAAAACCTGGAGCATGGGGCTATGGGGCATAGTGCCAGCCGGGCACAGGGCTATGGGTGCTGGGAGCACCCTGGCAGGGGCTGTGGAGGCCTCACTCCCAGGAGAGGGCACTGGAGCCCGGAGGCGTGAGGTTGCTCCAGGGACCCGTCCTCAGGACCCCCTTGGAGTCCCTGCGCCCAGCGAGCATCTTCTGGCCTCCTGGGGCTGGCACGGGAGGAGACGGGCACGGTGGCACCGCCAGGGCCTGACCGGGTCCGCCCTGCCCCGGGGTGAAACACCCGTCTGCTTTCCGGCCCGTCTCGTTCCTGGCCATGATGGTTTCGTCTGTTCCCGTGCCAGGGCCATCCCTGCCTGCAGGAGGAGCTGGCCCTGCTGTGCTGGGCCGGGCTGGGATGTTCAGGGGCTCTGGCACGGGCCATGGTGGGGGATGAAGGCCATGGGGGGATGAAAGTCGCAGCCCCCTGACTGTGACCCTGAGGATGCTGAGGGTGCAGGTACCTTCACACATGCAAGAAAGGAAAAAAATCCACCTGGGAGAGGCTTGGGATGTCCCCAAGGTCTCAGTCCAGGGCTGGCAGCCCATGGGCTCCCTGGCACGTGCTCTTCTGCTGCCCAGGCACTCATCACCTGTGTATCCACCCCAGATCCCAGCCATCCCAACTTGAAGGGCCCCCTGCATCCCAGGTCGAGGTCCTGCACCCGTGTGGCCCCCCATGTCCCCCATCGTCCCCCCGCGGTGCCGGGGCCGGGGCAGCAGCTCGAGCCGGCAGCGGGCGCTGGCCGGGGGGCAAGTCTGCAGCGCTGATGAGATGCACCTAATTATCCCTCATTACAAGGGCAGGGCAGCGACTGCCGGAGCCAGGAACTGGTTCATGCTCCCTGGGGCCACCCTCGCCATGCTGGCGCAAATCCCGTGGTCCCAGGAGCCCTGGTTTTGCTCCACAACGCAGCCCTGGTCCCCCATGGCAAAATTCAGCCGAGGAAATGCAGGAGTATCTGCCTGTGAGTCCTGCCAGGGTGGTTGCTGCTGGCTCTGGTCCAACCGGTGGGATGTCCATGGGCAATTCTGGGCACAGGTCCTTGGGCAGGACCCTCCGCATGGGGGATACGGGCCAGCCTGAACTCCTTCCTCATCAGCCTCGGGAGAGGTGAAGGCTGCCAGGAAACCTCCCCAAGGTCCCCGCTCCACTGCTGCAGGTCTCCCACCTCCCAACGGAAGCTCACTTTCCCTTAGCTGTGGAAATGAGAGTTTCAACAGAGTTTTTCTCTGCTCCTCCGTTTCCCATGGCCCATTTCCAGAGTCTCGGAGAAGCCCGGGAGGCTGGTGCTGACCTCCATGCCCTCGAGCAAACCGAACAGGACGCGCTGCGTTCCGGCAGCTGGCAAGCAGAAGGCATCGCTCCGTGGGCTCCCCACACAGCTCATCCGCAGCCGCAGGTGATGGGGCTGCTGGGCAGGACGGGACATCCTGCCCTGGGACAGCTCAGCAGCTTGGGTGACATTCTCACCAAGCTCTTGAGCCCAGGGGCTGAGATGGGGTGGTGGCCACAGGGCATCCCTGTCACCACGGGCAAGGACTTGCTATGCAGGGAGCTGAGGGGCTCAGAGGTCTTCGGCACATCATCCCACCCGGAGCAGCATAAGGAGCTGCACCAGCTCCTCCAGGCTGCAGAGCTCGGCCATGAACCCACCCTCTGCTTCATCTCTTGGGCCACAGGTTGGGGTCACAAGCAAGGAGCAGGGAGGGTCACGTGCTGCTGGGGGCAACTCACCTCTGCGGCATCCAAAGGGCCCCGGTGACACTCGGGCACAACGTGGGCAGGTCCGTGTCCGTGCAGCCCAGGGGCTGGGGGCTGCGCGGGCAGCACTAACCAGCAGAGGGAAGCAGACGGCCGCAGCTGCCCTGAAGGCTCCCTGAGCCCAGCCGAGCTTCCCCCAGGCCTTGTCCCTCGGCCTCCTCCACTCTACCTCCTGCCCCATCCATGGGGACAGCCGCAGTGATGCTCAGCCTGGGCTCTTCACGGTGACACAACCACACTAACACCTCGAACGTCAGTCCCCATCACCCTACAGGCTCGTGGTGCCCTCAAGCCACCCCAGAACTGTTCTCTAGAGGATGATGCAACTTCAGCAAGCATGCAGCACCACACTGCAAACCCTCAGAGCAGGATCACTCTGCGAGGACATTGCCCACACTGCCAGCTGGGAACTTTGGGGCTGAAAGCTCAGCAGAGACCCACTCTGCAGCTCTCCCAGTGAACAGCAGGATCTCAGCAGGCTTTTACTACCATGCTACACCCAGCAGTCATTGGTGCCCCATATGGTGCACCAATCTACCTTGACCAAGAGATCTGCTGCCAGGGAAATACATACCCTGTGAGCACCTATGCAAGCCCCCCTTCTGCTTCCTGCTTAGAGCAGCCACCTGGGTTTGCTGCCCAGCAGGTATCATCACACAGCCAACATGGCCCAGCTGTAGCGGGGACGGAATGACACCACATATCAGGGCAGGCTGGGGGAGAATGATGGGGAGCAGCTCTGCAGAAGAGGTTCTGGATGTTCTGCTGGACAAGCTGCCCAAAACCCGGCAGTGTAGCCTGGCAGCAATGAAGATCAACCATGTTCTGGGCTCCATTATCACAATTAGAGGCAGCTGGTTAGGGGAAGTGATTAGTCCTCTCCAGTGAGCATTCAGGAGACCACATCTGTCCAGTCTGGGGCTCCTCAGTGCAAGAAGAAATCAACAAAACTGAGAGGCCAGTGAATAGTGACCAAGATGATGAAGGGGTTGGAGTTTGTGAGATAGAGGAGAAGCTGAGGGGCTGGTTTTATTCAGCTCAGAGAAGAGAAGGTTGTGGGGGTCTGAATTTCAGCCTACTTAGAGAAGGCAGAGCCAGGCTCCCCTCAGAGTTGCACAGCAAGAGAATATGAGACAACAAATACAGGTACCACAAGGAAAATTGTGATGGACATAAAGAAACCATAAACACAGAGCATCCCTGTGACAGGGCTCACAGCTGCACGGGACCTTCATCACTGAAGGGCTTCCAAATGCAACCACTGAACGGAGCCTCAGACACTGATCAATGTGACCTTTGGAGGCAGCCCTATTTTCAGAAGGAGATTTGACTGAAGATCTCCAAAGGGCCTTTCCATCCTACATTTTTTTCTATAATCCTGAGAAACTCAAACCCAGAGTTTCATTCTGACTTTGACCTGATGTTCAGGGGCCCTCAGTGGGATCCCTCAGACTCACAACCTGCCAGTACCTCTCCTCTCTGACGCAATCTCTACAAGCAGGGGGAAAACAGAGACTAAAGACAGGCTCGTTCTAGGAGTTTTATTGAATAAACAACTTTGCCTGGATACAACCCTTGCATGTGGCACATGCAGCTGAAATGCTGCAGCAGAGCATCCACCCCACACACAAAGAAAGCATGAGGACTCCTAACCCCCCCAAACCTCCTCCAGGGAGCAGGGCTCCTGCCAAGCCAGTTAGCTGAGTTTCAGTCTCCTCGAAGGAGGTGCTACGCAAGGCTGCTGTGCGACATGTTCTGGATCCTCTATGGCCCCTTTGCGGCCAGGCTTTCTGCTCCACAAACCTAAGCAGCTATCATAAACTCAGAGCCTCACCCAAGCCCCCAACCACAAACAGCTACAATTTGGGTCACAGAGGGAGTGATGGAAAAAAGCAGGGGGAGAATTTTTGGAAGTGCTTAAAAGGGTTACTATTCCCCTCACTTGGCTTACAAAACCTCATGCAAAAGCTGAGGGTGTGCTGAACAGGAGACCCATCTAAAGGTTTCCAGGCTCTAAAATGAAATTAGAACTACACAGCTAAGCCTGACTTTTGGTTTAAAAAGTGTGCTAAAATAAAAGGAGCTGAAGTCCTTCTTCCTAGAAGGACTACTGTTACTATTGTCTTCTGAAAATGTTTTACTGATCCCATTTATGCTGCACATGTTTACAACCACCATACTTTAAAAAGATAGAATATCCCTGTGGAGTTTGCAAGCCAAAGCGCAATATCAACTCTGGTTCTACAGGAGAAACACAGAAAGAAAGTAAAGAAGGTGGATGAAGATGAGTTAAGCTGGGATGTTTCTAAAATCATGGGTTAACAGGGCCATTAAACACAGGATTAGGTGGAAAGTTCCCAAGTTATTCAGCAGTGCTTGGCCTGCCTGCTTGGAGGAGCACTATGACACAGCACCGACAGGAATTTTGATATGGTTTGCACACGTTTTGGGTCACTGACAGACACAAGGTCTCTTTAGGGTCTCCCAGAACCAACAGTGAGCCAGCATTGGGCTGGAGGTCAGCCAGGCCCAGCTGGTGCAAACTAGCAGAGCTCAACGACCACAGCTGGGCTATGACAAATCATACTGGGCCATCCCTGCAGTTGTGCTTTAATTACAAGCCATGATTAACACATTCCTGTTTCCACTCCCATCTGTACCTCCTACTCAGGTCAGCCAGTGGATCTCTTCAGCCTCAGACAGGGAATAATCTTTCTGGCACAGCCAGGCTTTGGTCAGCTTTGATGTTTATTACTTGCTCTGTGACACAGCACTGCATGGCTGGATGCACATCCTGGCAGGATGAGGCACCTTCATGGATAACGTGGAGCAGAACGTTTTTGGAGGTGTAAGCTGTGTTCCCCGTCTGTATTTATACCAGCAGGGCCTGCCGAGGCCGATGGAGGGACCCCCATGGCTTCAGAGAGCACTGGGTCAGATCAGAGAGGAATGAACTCGTGCTGTGAAGCAGCAGGCAGTTATTGATTGCTATAAGGGTGCTCACTGCGAGTGCAGAAAGGGTCAGGCAGCAAAGACTGGTCCGGACAAGCCAGAGCGCGCAGAGTGCCGGGCCCGGGGTGCCTCACTGCGAGTGGATGAGCGCCCCAGCTCCCTGCCCGAAGCCAAAGCCCTTGGGCCCAAAGTTCTTGGCGTAGCAGCCTGCAGAGAAGGGAAAGAAGAGTCAGGTAAAGCCATTAACACAGAGAGAGCACCTGAATGGGAGCAGGTCCCTCTTTTGAGGCAGGTACTACCCAAGCAGAGCTGGGTTTGATGTGTGTGTTGGTGAAACAGAGGCCCCGAATGTAGCAGGGAAATCCCCCAGCAAGTGCCAAGTCAGCCCCCAGATGTTGCTGCTGGAGGTCCCCACGTCCCCACGCTTCCATCCCATCCCCGTTCCAGGCAGTTATTTAAACCTCCACTCTTTGGATTCCAGGATGAACTGCTGTGGATTTTGGGAGGACCTGTGACTGTGCCAGTGGGGAGGCAACAGGGAAGGTGGTGCTCACCTTTGCAATAGATCTCCCCATCTTTGTCTGCCAGGGTGGTGGATTCCAGGCTCTTGCCGCACTTGGCACAACGGAAGCAGGACTTGTGCCAGGACTGTGGGGACAGGAGGAGAGCTCAGTTAGAGAAGACACAGTGACAGGAGAGCAAAGCTTTGATTATCACGTGGGGTTCCAGCCCTCCACAGCAGCCACAATGGCCTTCTTCAGGGTCCCTGTTGTTGAGTCATCCCCATAAATCAATCACCTTAGATGGTCCCAACCATCAGCAAGATGGACCCTCTGAGGCATCAGTCCCTTAACCGAGCAGTATTTTCCTCTGAGAAATGCAGTCCTTTTGCTTACACCCCAAAATCAGTAAACATAAAATGTAAAATTAGTAAACTTCTCCAAATAAGTAAATGTACTGTTGCTGTTCCCCAGCCAGTGGTGACATCAGGACTGGGCCACCTGCCCCTATTCTACTACAGCTCCGAGGAAGGCAACAAGCAGATATTAAGAATGCAGAAATCGGTGTTTAAAAATAAAACTCCCCCGTGGCTCTGCCTGCAGCCAAGGGATAAATCAACTCACAGCCTCCGAGCAGGCTGCAGAGTAGCCAGAGCTACTCATGTAGGAATTTAACATTAAGGAAAAAAAAAGGTTTGAAAACAGGAAACCTTTTTTGGAAGAAAATGTGAAATTGGGGCTGGAGGAGGAGGTAGCGGATGGAGTCATCCAGCAAACATTAGCACATGAAATACATGCTCTGGAATCCTCTCTGGTTTGCTTGAATGTAACTGCTTTGCCAGGTCTGGTTCCTCATAAACAGTGAGCGTGGAGCCAACCAGTAGGTCTAGTGCCTGGATCATGATTTTAAGGGTAAGTTTTTCTCACCCTGGGCTGACCCCCAAGGCATCCATCAAGAATTCCTCTGCTGCCAGCCTGAGTATGACGATGCTGAGAGCCTATTTCTTGCAACTAAATTCCTCCCTTCTTGCTCCAAGGAGAGAGGGGAAACACAGAAATCCCCGAGGGGACAGATCACTGCCGAGGTCAGCGAGTGTCTCGGCTTCAGACTTGGACTGATGCCACTGCTCATTCAGTCAGTGATGGCAGTAGCCATGTCCTGCATCAGTGTTCATCCTTCCAATGCTTCCACTCCACTCTGGGACCTCCACTCAGATCTCTGTGGAACAACAGTCCAGTTATTTATTATAAAACATACTTCTCTCCAATTCCCTTTTCTGGAAGAGTGAGATGGCTTTGAAAACCTGGTTCTCAGGTGTGCTGAGGTCTCATTTAGGCACCAGGCTTCCACATGAGGTCAGCACATGGGACTCCAAGCCTAACCCCAGGTCTTGGCAGTCTGGCCTCTAGGTCAAGACCTTCCGCGCAGGTCTTCCTGCTACACAGCAAGTCATGGCCTGCACATGCCCCCAGCCACTATCTACATCCCTCTTCTCACCTTTCCAGCTCCAATCACCTTCTCAGCTGCATACACAGCTTGACCACAGCGAGGGCATCCACCAGGAACTGCTGGTTTCTGGGTCATTCCGGAGAAGTTGGGTTGGTGTGGCTGGCCCCTGTGGAAGGGAGGGAGGGAGGTCATTAGCAGCATTGCTGAACATGAAGGAGGAAGGAAGAGCTGTGTGATCATAAATCCCAGTCCAAGTTTGGAGGGCCTAGAGCTTAGGACATGATGGTGTTGAGTCCCATAGAAACTTCAGCCAGGTGGTGAGCAGCAACAGGGTCAGCAGGGGACAGGGACAACACACATGAACTACCAGGTCCTCGTGCAGCTGAGAACTTCAGGGCAGATGTGGGCCTCCTGCCCCAGCTACAGGACTCAGCAAGCTCCCCAACAAACTGGCGAGCAGCTCCCTCTGCCCTGTTAGCACAGCAAAGCTGTTTCATCAGCGAGGTAAAGCTGTAGAAGGACAACCTGTTTGGCCCTGCAGAAATTCACCTAAGTTCCCTGTGAGCTACCTATATGATGAGACAGGAGGGGGTTGATTCTTCAACTTCTCTGTGCAACCAAGAGAGCTGGTTTAAGCCAGGCTTTATCATCCCCACTGAACACATGGACTGGCCCAAAGCTCAGAGTTTGTGTCTCTCAGCTAGCTCTGGGACACTTTGAGTCCCAAAAGCAAGGGAGGAAAATGACTGTGTGTCACAGGGTGGCCCAGGATTTTCTCAGAGGGGCAGAAAAGCAATGTAGACCATGGCATACTCTAGATTAAGAAACACTGGCAGTTTAGCATGGTTTGCTGGCATCGCAAGCAGTAGGATGTGAGGGAGAAGGTACTGGCAACAGACCCAGCTTAAAACATTAAAAAAAAAAGAAAACCACTTAAACTCACTCTTCATATCTGATTCCCAGAGACTCGCCCTTGTCCGTGCTCAGGGTCCCTGCTCCCTGTCCGTATCCATAGCCCTTGGGACCGTACTTCTTGCCATAGCAGGACTTGCAGTAGATCTCTTCTCCATGCACAGCAACAGTGGTGCTGTCCAAGTTCTTCTTACAGACCACTAGAGAAGAGGGCAAAGTCGTTAGCCTTGTGCACCAAGAGCGTGGTTAATTAGTTGGAGCAAACAAGTCCTCACAAGGGAGAGCAGAGCTCAGCTTTCAAGGAGCAAGGGAACCCTAGACAAGATCACTGCTAATACGGAGTGCATGCAAAACAGGCTGGAGATAAGGATCACAACAAGAGCACTGTCTGGCTTTAAAAGGAAGCAACAAAAGCAACAGGGTTGATAATAAGGAAAAAGCTGTTAACCCTATCGATGCTGGTATTCGTGGTGGAAAGAGTTTAGAAAAATGGGAGTTGTACTTAAGCCAGCGCCTAGCTGCAACTCTTTATAAAGTCCCAGTCCACTGCAGATGCAGCTGATAAAAAATATTTTTTACATACATTAAGCTCTTGCTTATAGCTGTCTCAACACCATGAAACCACAATGAAAGATGTTCACGCTACCGTGTGTCACCCCTCATGAACAGGATGAGCAGCCTCAGCTGAGGAGGGCCAACTCAGCTGGGTGTTCAAATCTTTGGGATTCCTACAGGCATAAGAAAGGAAGCACTACAAGAGCTGAAAAGCCAAATAAGCAGCTGGTGATTATGGGTCACATCCCCAAAGCTCCTTCAGTTTCCCCCTGCCCTTCGGAACAAGGGGAGGAGATACCCAGATGCACCAGAGATCTACACCAGCCTCAAAGGGCTTCACCAGGGCACAGCAGCAGGGCTCAGGCATCCAGCTGGGCCGGTGCCAGCCGAGCTGGGTGCTGGGGGCAGCCCACACAGGCCGCTCTCCCAATTCTTTGATTTTCTTGACTCCCATCCCAGCTCTGATCTCAGCCTCCGCACTGGCTTCCAAACCCTTCCTGGAACACAGAGCTCAGCAAGCCACAACGGGAGCGCAGCCGAATCCAAACGGTGCTCCAAGGAACCTCTGGTGTTTACCTGCCCCAGTGCAGGACCAAGACGCCTGGGGCAGAGTCCACAGAGCTGGCAGGCAGCCCCAAAACAGATCCTGTTGCAAGTGCCCCACAGCCCTCCCCAATCCTGCTTACGTGCCTTAAATGTCAACACTCCCAGCAGGCTGCCTGCCCTTTTGAAAGAAGAAAAATTTCTTGCCCTTTACCAATACTGCGGGAATGCAAACAGAGCAGAGCACTCCTCCCCGAGCAAAACAAACCCGCGCTAAATACGGGGGCGAGAGGCAGCGATCCTCAGCCCAATTACTAAATACGGCGCTCGCGCTGCCTCCAGGCTGCGGAGAAGCCCGTGCGCTGGGGCAGGGAGGAGGCGGTGGAAAGGAAAGTGTGTCCTGCCACCTAAGGAGGACCTCTCAGGGCTGTCCCCTGGGCAAGGGCTTCCCCACGTCACCTAGCTCTAGGCCACTTAGCACTGGGAAAAGAGCACTCATGTCCACTCCTGCCAAGGAAGCCGCTCTAGTCAACTGGTCCCACCACCTACAGCTGCCACAATGTGCTGGCTTTTGTTCCTGCTTTATGGAGATGATCAGGAGCAACTGCGTATGGAGACAGATCATCTGCAACTGAAATCAGCCCCTTTCACTGACAGATTTAAAGGGCTTTCTCCTAGGAGGAAGGATATCAATGCCTTGTCCTCCCCACCTCCACCCTGGGCTGATTTAGGCCATCTCCAGCCTACGCTTTCCACGTCCACCCATGTTCACTGGCCGCAGACATTTTATGAGGCAACAAAAAAACCTCTTTCCCAATCTGCTTCCTGGAAATCAAGTCCCAGCTCCAGGGTTTCTGCATGGCTGGAATTCCAGCACACTGCTCACAGCATTAAGGACCCTTCATTTCTTTCTAAGAGCAGCTGAGATGCTGCAAAGTAATTTACACAGGAGCTGCTGTTCCTTTTAGAGACTGAACACTGGCCTCATTGCATGACATTTCTTCCTTGTGCTATTGACTCAGCTGGAACAACGCCACTCAGTCAATCACCGTGTCCCTTCCTGAATCTATCTCCAGGTCTAACACACTGTAGTAAGTTTGGCTCCTTTTATTTATTTATTTTTTCGAGCAAATCAGGCCACAGTATTTGTTTTTCCTCTGCTAAAGCGAATGGGTTCAAATTCCCTGATGGGGCCCAAATGCAACACTGGGGAACAGGCCAGGAACACAGCAGGCATTCAGGGCAATTCAGCATCAGAACAGCTTGTGGCACTAGAAGCAGCAGACAGCCCTGTGGACCAGCATGCAAACCCCTGCCTGAACCGGGGAGCCTGCAGCAGGGCCAGGCAGAGCTGCTGGAGGTGTACATAGATCCATGAGGATACAAACCTGCCTTCTTCCCTGCTTTGGCCATATACTGCCTTCTTAAAGCAAGGTCGTGCCCAATTCCTTAGCATTCCCCACCCAGCTTATCAGAGGCTGCAGGAGGAACACGATTTCCTGGTGCAAAATGCAGCTGCCAGCAGTGCCACGGCCCAGCTGCAACCTGCGGCTCTCTGCCACCCTCCCCAGGCGGGCGGAGGCCTCTCAGCAATTCCCCTTTTGTCTTCTTGAGTCAAAACAAAAGAACGAGGTTGGTCAGACAGGAAACTCCCAAGTATGAGAACTGCTGGCTGTGCCGACCAGCACTCAGCCAGTGCAAACAGATGCAGCAACATGCTGCATCTGCATGCATCTATGCACACAGCATCCCAGATAGCCTGGCCAAGCAGCACCCTGCATTTAGCTGAGTGGATAGAGGAGGACAGCATAAACTGCCCCATGAAGACACGGCTGTTTTTCCCTGGAATAGGCCTTGCTCACCTTAATTCTAGGTGTTTGCCTATTCACAGGCCCTTGCTCTGTTTTCTACACCCAGGTGGGAAAAGACCATCTGTGCTCCCTGCTGCAACGGAATGGTAAAATGTAGGGCCCAGCTGAGAAAGTGTTAAACGTCAGCGGGGTCCCAGGGCAAGGATGGCTCTGAAGAGGCAGCTCTATCCACTCCGCTCTCTGCTGAACATTGATAAATCATCAGTGATCACTAGGAGCTTGCACATTCCTACTGATGCTTGAGAATCAATAGTTCTGTTATGGGACAATCTTCAAGGGAGGACGATAGTAATTTTTTATTCAGAGTACCCTGCAACCCACCCTGGATTTGGCTGTTGCAGATTTGAATGCTGCTTTCAGCAATACACCCTTATTCCTGATATCCCCAAAGGGAATGGAAGGGAGCCTGAGGATCCTGCACCATGAACTCAAGTTCAAGTAAGTTCCTGCAGAGCACAGAGGAAGGGGCCACTGCACTGAGTTAACCCTCAGCCAGATCCTGTTCTGCTGCTCTTCTGTAGGGCTGACATCATGTCAGAGATGCTGCAGCCTTCAGGAGGGGATGCTTGAGCCCCCCCTGAGCTGTAGAAAGGCCAGGACAGGACCACATCTTCCTGCCATCTGGAATATGGAATACAGAACATGCAGGAACGTGCAGATCAGCTCCTAGGGCCCAGCCAACCTCACTAATGCAGCAAAGCCCCAGTAACGACTAGAGCTGGCACACCCCAGAGCAGTGCATGGGACATGCCACCTCCTGCCACCACAGCTCTGGGAGCCCTTGTCACACACTCCACTGTCCTGAACGTCCAGAGATAGCCTAGAAGACTCAGACAAGCATTTCCTTGGTGTGAGGACAGATGGTCTCCGCAGGGAGGCTGGCTCAAATCACCCTGACAGCTTGGATGGCCCCTGGTGTCCCAAGATGATCTGTCTTTCTTCAGCAAATCCCACTCCCAAGGCCGGAGAGCAGCAGAATTCCTGCTGTTTGGCTCCCACAGCTGGGCTGTTTGTAGAGGAATCCTATCAAGTGTTTACACAGCCCATAAACAGAACATGATCCGGGCCTCCCGTCGGCAGAGAGCCAGGAAGCCGGGGCAGAGGGGAAGAGGGAAGGGCTGGTACTCACTGCACAAGAAGCAGGACTTGTGGAAGCTGTTGCCTTCACACTGCACCTCCTCAGCGAAGTACACGGCCTTCTGGCACACGCCACACTTCTTCCCTCCACCCCAGTTCGGCATCCTGCGGAAAAGGAACAAGCAGAAATAAAGTCATGGCAAGAGGTCACACAGGGCACAGGTCGGACAGCAGCCATCTGGAAGGGCTCCCTGAATGGGGGCCTGGGAGCACAAGTCCCATAGGTCTCTCCTGCAGCCCTTCCAAACGTGCACAGGCCAAGACCACCCTCGAACGATTGCTGATTGCTCAGAACAGCAGGGCTGCCAGTTAGAACGGAGGCTGCCCAAGGTGCCACCAATACTACGAGCACCATCTGCCCCTCGGGAAGATTGGTCCCAACTGCTAGGAGAGGCGGAAAAAGACAGCCCTGATGCAACTCCTTGGTAGGAAATAAATCATTCTATTTATCTTCACTTTTCCCTGAAATCTCTCTGGTGCCGCATGATCGAGAGGCCTCTTGATCTGCAAACTTGGTGCAGACACCAAAAATAAAGCAAGTGGCTAAAACAAGTGGCAGAACTCCCAACTCAGAGACGCCTCAATACATTTGAAGACTGGGTCAATGGAAGCCTCACAGCATTCAAAAAGGAATCATCACAAATAACACAAGCTAGGAGTGCAGCTGAAGGACTAAATCAGAAGAAGCAGGGCCAGCAGAACAAGGCAAGTGATCAACCCTTTACTCAGTGCTGGGGAGGCTGCACATGGAATGAAGTGTCCAGCTTTGAGCTCCCTGTTTAGAATGGATGTGGAGATCTTCAGCACGTGGCCTACAAGGAGATGCTGAGGGCACTCAGCTTGTTTAGGAGAGCCAAGAAGAGGCTAAAGAGGATGAACAACAGCCTACAGCAGCCACAAAGGTGATGGAACCAAACACTTCTTGATGGTGCCTGATGATAACAAGAAACAGCAATGGCCAAAAGTTGCAGCTTGGGAAGCCTCCCAAGCAACACAAGCCTCCCCAGCAACAATTAACGATTCTCCATTTTGCTCCCGTGCGGATGGGAAAAAGTCACTTTCCCACAGCACAGCCTCATGCTTCTTGACCCAAGAACTAAAGCAACAGGACAAAGCCCCAAAAAAGCCAGCAGCATCTGCACGCTACACACGAGAGCAGCACATCATGAGCATGTTCATGAGCAAGAACCCCTCGCGTCCCTCGATTTGGTTGCACTGCCATGACATGGGGCACCTGGACTACTGGGTGCAGTTCTGGGCTCCCCAGTACAAGAGGGACATGGAACTTCTCGAGAGGGTCCAGTGTAGAGCAACAAAGATGATGAAGGGACTGGAGCATCCATCGTATGAGGAAAGACTAAGCGAGCTGGGCCTGTTTAGCCTGGAGAACATTGAGAGGGGAATCTGATCAATATGTATAAATAGCTGAGGGGAGGATGTAAAGAGGATGGGGCCAAACTCTTCTTGGTGGTGGTCATTGACAGGACAAGGGGTAACGGGTACAAATTTAAAAAAAAAAAAAAACAAACAAACAAACAAAAAAAACACCACACATACCACAGAAAAGGAACTTCCATCTCTGTGTGAGGAAGAACTTCTTTCCTGTGAGGGTGCCAGAGCCCTGGCACAGGCTGCCCAGAGAGGCCGTGGAGTCTCCTCTGGAGATCTTCAAACCCGCCTGGATGCCGCCCTGTGCCCCTGCTCTGGGTGTCCCTGCTAGAGCAGGGGTTGGACTAGGTGATCTCTAGAGGTCCCTGCCAATCTCAACCATTCTGTGATTCTGTGATCCAGGATCCAAGAGGACCACTGAGCATCTGAGGACACAGGGACACCGAGGCCATTCCTCACAGTGGCTCTGAATCCCTAGGCCACCTCAGGCAGTTCCAGCCCCATCTCTGGGCCCTGACCCAAGGCAGGGCAAGCAGTACTGCCTTTGGAAACTTGGCGAGATGGATGCTAAACACAGCAGGGCTGGCAGCTGTATACACAACAGGCAGCGAGATAAGGCAGGATGAAGACCTCATGATCTCATTACTCTTCAGGATCCGCAAAAGTCAAGGTCTTGCTGAAATAAAATAATTTAGGCAATTAAAAAAAAAAAAAGAGAGAGGGAATTTGATCTCAAGCTGGTTTTAATGAACCTTGTTTCAGGCTGTAGGACAAGAGCAGGGAGACAGGCAAATTGTGACTGGAGCGGGGCCAGGCTGAAGTTCCCCACACAGAGGAAGCTGGTGGAGGAGCAAAAGGGGCAGCTCGGGCTCCCGAGGAAGGGGAGCGCAGGGAGCTCCGGCGCGCGGGGAGGCTGCGCGTTGGGCGAGAGCACGGGAGCCAGGAAGCCTCTTCTCAACACCCTGCGGGCCGGGCTTCCTACCAGCGCTCAGCTCTGCCAAATCCCTCCCTTTCAGCCAGATCATCCCTGTTCAGGCCTTTGCATTGCCTTAAAAGGACACAAAGTGTTTCTCGCTCTCCAGAGACTGTTATTTTACGGGGCCGCAGGAGGAGCGCCAGGGAAGTTTCCTTGGAGGGCAGAAACATCCAGTGGCAGCAGCTGCCACCAGCCAAGGATGCCCCCCCACTCCGAACAGTGGCAATTCAAGACAAGAGGGACATGGAACCAGGACAAGAAGGACATGGAACTTGTAGAGGGAGTCCAGCGCAGAGCAACAAAGATGAAGAAGGGACTGAAGCATCTATCGTGTGAGGAAAGGCTAAGTGAGCTGGGCCTGTTTAGCCTGGAGAAGACTGAGAGGGAATCTGAACAATATTTACAAATAGCTGAGGGGAGGATGTAAAGAGGATGAGGCCAATGTAAAGAGGATGGGGCCACACTCTTCTTGGTGGTGTCCAGTGACAGGACAAGGGGTAGTGGGTATAAATTGCAACACAGAAGGTTCCATGTGAGAAAGAACTTCCTCCCTGTGAGGGTGCCCTGCTCCACACCCAAAGCATCTGTGACCATGTTCAGGGACAAATGGCCCTGCACAATTTAAAACCATCTGCTCCTGCCTTCCTCTGAGCTGCCCATGGGGAGGAAAAAGGGTGCTTCTAGGGCCAGCTCATCTAATTCAAGGCAGACATCTGCTACAGGGGATTCAAGGCCTGTTCTCCTTCCTCCACCATACAGAGTTTAGGGGTGAGCCATCCAATTTGATCACTTTGCTGTGGTTTGGACAGTTAATCCCACCCTGAGTGCTCCAGCGGGTTGGAAGAGCCATATAAGTAGGTGCCCCTGCAAGTCTGCCCAGCACAGACCAAGATGGATTTTCTGAGAGAGCACCCATAGCATCAGTTTGTTCTGAGGATGTGCGGGTTTGTGATAACTCACAGCTGAGCACAGGGAAAGCCGGAGAACAGATTTAAATTAAAGGGAATTCCCTCCAAGTCCACAGCACGCATGAGCACTTGAGAGCCCAGCAGGCTGCAAGACAGACCAGAAAGCTTCTACAGTTCAGAAACAGCAGGAAAGAGAGGGATATGCCCCAAATCTTATGAATGATCGTTAGAAGCCTGCCACATGCTCCAAGCCAGCATCTTGCTTACTGAGGTTTGCAGAAGCAAAAGCAGAATCCTCACAACAGCTGTCTAGACACAGACCCACCAACCTGATGCCCTAATCAGGGATAATCTTAAACCACCCGTTCTGCAGGTTTTGGCCCTCTCAGCATTTTTCAGGGTCATTTTCTTCACACCATTGAGCTGAACACCATATTCTGCCCAGGCACAGCACTTAGTGACTTCAGTTGCACTTCTCCAAGCCCATTCTTAGGACAACACAAAGTGAGGACCATGAGGTCCCTGTCCTGCAGCACAAGACCCCTCTTGCCTCTGCAAGAGAGGCCCAAGGCTGCCAGAGAACACATTGGTTTCCTGCCTCCCACAGCTCCACACCCCATCCCCACAACACATCCAACTTCTGCCTGAAGAGGAATCCTACAAATCGCCTCCTCTGCTGCCCCAAGCGTGGCTCAGCCCTGGACCAGGTGCATCACCTGCTCCAAATAAGGCAAGAGGCCTAAGAAAATAAGATACACTCATTTTGTCAAGGCTGTATTTGGGAAGCCCAGGAGTACGCACAGCTTGTGCAAAGCATCGCCAATCTGACACCAAAATATTAATAAGGTGACCCATATTGCTGTAAATACAGGTAGAGCCTCACTTAGGTGAGAGGAGCTTGCATTGCAGCACCTGGACACCAAATGGACAGGTACCATGCATACAGAACCAGTACGTCCTGGGACTTGGCGATTTTTATCTTCATCTGGGCTTTCAGGAAAATTGGTATCCAGATGAGGCCAAACCGGGAGATAGCAGGAACAGACAGACCATCAGCCTCTCTTCACAGGGGACTTGAGAAATCTGCACGCTCCTATCACTCAGACCAAAGCTCACCACCACTTTTGACCTGTCTAAAAGAAGCTGGTTTAACTCCTAGAACTAAAGCAGCACTTGGCATTGGGTGAGCACAATTTCACTAATAGAGAAGTGCTCAGAGCAGTGCAAGTTGTCACCTTCTAATGGACTTTCCAGTGGACACCAGGGTGCCAGCACAACCACTCATGCTCTGCAACAGCTGGAATGCCAGTGCAAGCCCAGATTTTCTACCAAAAAATAAAATCCTGCAGTAGTTAATCACAGAGCATCCACTTGCACTTGGAGAGAAGGAGAACACAGGAACAAGAGAAAGGTTCAGGGTGGCCAGTCTCAATTTTTTTTTTTAATTTTTATTTCTAAATGGTGACAGCTTTAATGAAAGCGGATGGCAGGAAAGCATCATCAGTGTGGCACAGAACTCACACATTATGGATTTTCCAGTAGTTCATGCAGAACTCTACATGGCCTGGCAAAAGGACAAACCAAAGAGGAGGAATCTAATCTAAAGTAGGAGCCCCAGGATCCGGATTACAGCCTTCCTGTTTACTGGAGAGCAGCTGGCACAGCCATGACGTTTGAACAAGAAAGAACATGGCTAGATTAGGGATGTAGGCAGGGCACAAAGAAATCAGCTCATGGAGACAGACACAGCACCAGGTGGAAAATCACTGGGACTGTCACGAGGTCAGCACCTATACAACAGCAAGCAGCCCATGGGCAATCTCTCCCCAGGGTCCCCTGGATGTCTGGCCAGG